AATAATAATATTTGACATTCCTCCCCCTTCCCCTCCCCTCCCCTGCCCCTCCATAGGTCCCGGAGTAGCGTTTGTGGTCTATCCTGAAGCCATCTCCTACCTACCCCTCCCTCAGTTGTGGGCTGTGCTCTTCTTCGTCATGCTCTTCACATTGGGGCTGGATTCACAGGTAATGGTCTTCATCGTCGTTGTCGTCATCACTCTCATCCTTATTATCATTATCATCAATGATGTACAGTAGAAACACAACCGTGTACTATGGAGATTTGAATATATTTCAGACATGACAACAGTATTTAAAAGAATGTTGAATGTTCATCATCATCATCGTCAACCGAAAGGTTGTAGTTTTGACTCCTGTCAAGTGTAACAGTTGTGTATATGTTTGTTGTTGTTGTTGTTGTTGTACTTGTAGTTGTTGTTGTTGTTGTTCTAATGTAATCTTCTTTTATCCATCTTTTGTGCCAGTTTGTGACAATCGAGACTGTGCTGACCACCCTGTCTGATATGTGGCCCCGGCTCATGAAGAGACATGAGAAGCTCATCAAGTTTGGTTACCTGATTTTACTCTTTCTTTTCTCCCTGCCCTTCGCGTCTAGGGTAAGTCTTCGTGTCAATTGCAACTGACAGTTGTGGTGATTATAGGTCTTTTAATCAGCGATTTTCACTAAAATTCACACTTACATGTTTTTTTTTAATGGACATAAAAGGAGAAATATAATCAAAAAGAAAATCGATTAAAATTGGACAACGGGCAGGATAATCAGTTTCTTCGATTGTATTATTTTGACTGCGGACCTGCTTTCATCAAGACGCCTCACATATTTATCAAGCGTTCTTTAAAATGTACGCTTTCAGGGAGGAGTTTACCTGTTCCAACTGGTGGACTGGTACTTCGCTGCGTTCACCACAGTTGTCATTGGTATTATGGAGTGTATTGTTATTGCATGGATTTACGGTAAGTATTCACGCGCTTTTTGATAATAAATTCAACTGATTAGGCATTCAAACAATGTAGATTAAGAGGGTTTGTTGTGTTTTGTTGCTGTTGTTATTGTTTTTGTTGTTGTTGGGATTTGTTGATGTTGGGGGTGGGAGTGGGGGGGGTGGG